CCAGTTCCGGAACAGGACACCCCTGACGTGTGGCTACCCGAGGCGGCAGGACGGTCCCCAGGAAGGTCCCCAGGGTCTGCTCGGCGGGGGGTGGAGGGCAGCTGACCTGGGGGCCGGCGCAGCTGATCTTGCAGACGTCACAGTAGTGAAGCAGGGGCTGCCTGGGGCCACCCTTGGGCTTCGGGGGCTTTCTGGCCAGGCTGCCAGCAGAACCGGCCCTGGGGCTGTTCCCGGGGCCGCCCCACAGGGAGCCCATGGGCTCTGGGGGTGGAGGGGGCGGCCGGGGGGGCGGCGGTGAGGGGCGGTGAGGACCGGTTGCCGAGCGCTCGGCCAGGTCACAGCTCGGGTGGCTCGGTCCTAGGAAGCAGAGAGAAAACCCAGACGGGGCGCCGGGTTGGCTGTGTGCCTCTTCAGGAACGGCCTGTGCACACACGGAAATGCGCCCTACCTGCGTCCAGGGCAGACGTGGGGCTGTAGGAGGTCGGGGTGTAGGAAGGCAGGGTGGAGACGGAGGCCGCGGGCCGAGCGCTGGCAGCCGGCAGACAGGTGTCGTTCTCCGTGCAGCTCAGGGCCAGGGTGCTGACTGGCTGTCCTGCGCTAGCGGTGGCCGCCTGCTGCAGGGGCTGCGCTTGGCCGTACCCACCGCCGGGCCAGACATGCGTTCCTTTAGTCCCTGAGGGCAAACAAAACCTCTCTGCAAAGCCACCCCTCTGCCCCCAACCTCCCCCCTCCCAGCAGTGGGAATCCCGGCCCCCCGTAGCCATGGCAATGGGCCTCTCCCTCTGCTTAGAACCAGCATGGTCCCAGGTGCTACTGGCCTTGAACTTCCTGGAAGTCTCAGCTGCAGCTGGAGGCCAGGGCCCCGGCCTCTCCCACCCCTCAAGTCCAAGTCCTCAGCAGAACCCCCCTCCTTCCAGATCTCCTTCCAGTTCCGTCTCTCTGCCTCTCTTTCCTTCTCTCCCTCTCTCTCCTACACGGGCCCGACCCTAGTTGAGACTTCGGCGCATATTTGAGAAGGCAGCCCTGACAGTCACACAACCCAGCCTGGACCTCCTACGAATTGGGCAAGTTTAAAATGTGGCTGCGCGGCGGCTGCTCCCACAGTGAAGCCGGCAGCCCCTTACAGAGGCCCACCTGGCTGGCACGGCACGGCCGAGGCCGGGAGCCGAGGCTGGCTGGCAGCGGGCAGGGGATCCTGTTTGTTCTCGTAGCTGCCGGCATCCGTCGCTGGTTCGCGGCTGTAACCGTCCTGCGAGGGGGTTACCCCGGAGAGACACGGAGCAGGGAGAGGGCCCCTCAGGGCAGGGGCAAGGCGTGCCCTCGCCGGCCCCGCACGCGGCTCGGCTCACGTTCACAGTTCCTGAGCTCCGACTCTGACAGGCCGGTTCAGGAGCTGGGGACGCAGCGACCAGCGAGCTGGACGTGGCCGCTCTCGTGGAAATGTTGACGTGTGAGGGCAGAAGCGCTGTGGGCAATGCCCAGCCTGAGACAGCTTGCACGGGAGCAGCGCAGGGAGGGTGATACGTGAGGACGTGGGGACAGGGTTCCCCGCAGGGTCAGGACACAGAGGCCCCCACGTGGAGCCAGCTGGTGGGCTTGCAGAAGACGGAGGCGGTCAGAGCAGGGGACTAGGGGCTGGGGTGACAGCTGGGGCCAGGGACTCGGGGAGGGTCTGGGTGACGTGCAAAGGAGCCTTCGGGTCGTCACGTGGAAGAGGACCACAGGCAGGTGAGCGTGAAAGCGGGGGTCAGGAGTGGGCCCTGGGGACAGGCAGGAGTTCGGGGGACGGGCTGCGGGGAGATGCCTCAGAGGCCCTGGGGAAGCAAAGGCAAGGGACAGAGGAAGAGGGCGGAGCCGAACAGAGCGAGCTCTGCCAGCGGGGCGGCCCGTGGTGCCGTTTGCTGATGTTAGAGGGGACGAGCGGTGGGCGGCAGAGGCCCGGGGGTCTGGACCACGTCCGGCACGGGACATGCCAGCAGTTCCGAGCGGAGACACGCAGCGGCTGGATGTCCAGGCCCAGAGAAGGGGTCGGGAAGATGGCAGCAGCAGCACCAGAAGTGCCAGATGAGCTCACGATCGTCCCCGGCTCCCGGTCACAGGCAGGGACAGGAGCGCGGGGAAGGGACGTCTGTGCGCCTGTCTGTCTGCTAGTGCGGGCCACCCGCTGCACGCTCCCACTCAACGCTACCCGCGGCTTCAAAGATGAGGTGCCAGTGAGAGAGAGGCCGGGCTGGTACCTGGTAGGAGGGAGCGGTGCTGGGCGCTGGGGCAGGCTCCGGGGGCCAGCTGGTGCAGGGCTGGTACCCGCCACACCCCGCCACGCTGACAGGCCCGGGGGGCTGGGCGGCCGCGGGAAACGTCGGGGTCGCAGCAGGTCCCGGGGCGAGGCTGGCTCCGGTGGCGGGGAGGGGAAAAGCCATTGGAGGCTGGGCGCTGGAACCACAGATAAACACAGGAGCCGGCTGCATCACGGAGTTCTGGGAACGCCTTCGTGGAAGCTCGTATGTTCCGTCAGACCCTGAACGTCGGCTGCTCGGGATGCCGACAGTAATTCTGTACTTTCTCTACCTACTAGCCTTTGTTAAGACCTTGCTAAGAGAGCAGACTTGGTTTTAAGCACTTTTTACGAATTACCACAATGTCATTAACACCTCTGTGCGTTGGGGACCCTCCTTGCCCCCGTTTTACAGGTGAGGAAAACCGAGGCACCGTAAGTGACACAGTCAGGGCCTGAGCCCACTGGTTGACTTCTCGGCTCATCTGTGCGGGCAGCAAGCTTTATCTGGACATCGACATTCTTCTGACAAAGCTAGACTTGAATGGTATTTTGTAACCAAGGAGCCGATGGATCCCCCAATTATTGAGATACGGAAAATCAGCTAACATGAAACTAAAAACCCTTAGTCACGAGAATGAGTTTCACTGCCAGCTTGCTCTGCAGGAAGCACAGCGCTGAGGCCTTTGTCCACACCACCTCACTCTCCCCTTCCTGCCATTGAGAAGGCGCCACTGTGACCACCTGTCCCGTTTCTGAATGAGGAACCTCTGAGGACCAGTGACACAGGTCAAGTGCTCGATCCAGACCCAGATCTCTGTGACCCAAGCGCCCCCATCTGCTAAACGTCATCCTCAAAGGTAACAGTCCGTTTGTCTTAGAGGAGCAGCATCAGAGGTTTTAGCCAACGCCAGTGTGGATCACAGAAGGAAGTTGCCGCAAAGCCAGCCGGGGATGAGGCAAGGCGCGTGTGTGTGTGTGTGCATGTGCGTGTGCCCCGGGGCAGGGGGTCCCAAGGACAGAGGCACCGCGGCCAGCACTGCTCGAGCCCCTGGTACTTCCGCACACATTCTGGACCAAAGCCAGGCATGCGGTGACGGCGCCTGTCCCTCTAAGTGGCTTGCTGCCCAGCTGGGACGACACACAGAGCGCCCTCCAGGCCGCGCAGAATGCTGAGCGTCAACCACTCAGAGTAAAGTGCAAAGGGTCCTCGCGGGAGCTGGGGGCCAGCGGAGCCTGGCGCGTCACCCCCACCAGGCACCTGCCCTCTCCTCACTGGCATCCTGGCAGCCGGAGGGGTCCTCTCACAGCGCCCCCCCGCATCCCCTCCTGTCAGATGTCACCTCCTCCAACAAGCCCTCCCCGAGTCAGTCTAGGACGGTGGCAGTACTCTGTCCCCTCGCCCTGCTGGGGTTTTCTTCCCAGTGCCACCCGACCGCCTCTGTCCCTCCCCCGCAGGAACAGCAGCATGTCCCAAGGTCTCTCCCAGCACAGCAACAGCATCGGACACATGGCAGGTGCTCAGTAAATACAGACGCGGAGCGTGAGCTTACAGGCGTCCCCCGGGGCACGTGTGTGGGAAACAGGCAGGTGGGGGCGGCCCCTGCGGCTCCCACCTACAGCACGCTTCTAGATTCGATTGGAGGCAGTGTCCTGGACCCTCCGGTGCCCCGCGGGCCATTCCCAAGTGCAACGCCACTGTCCAAACAACTCGAAATCCGCAGCTCTACAGCAAAAGTAAAACCCAGCTGGAAGCCAACCCTCCAAGGTAACCCCTTGTTTTCGTCTCTCCCGGGAAAGCAGCAGCACCCTACCCATTAGGAGGAACGTTTCGGTTCAAGTCAGCCACTTGTGAGATTTTTGCTTCTCAGCCTACCGTTTTACAGACTTTCTTGGTCCAAAAGCAGATCGAGTGGATGCCTGACCGGCTCTCTGAATCCCCTCAGTGCCGAGACTTCTTTATCACAAAACGTTTCAAAGAACGCGGTGCACGCCGCTGAGGTGTAATAAGCCTTGCTATTTTGCCACATTTGCTTCCAAGTTTCTTTCAACAGCGAGAACTCAATCCCCTCCATCAGACCCCCTTCCCTCCCTGCCGGGACTGGCCATGATCTTTGTGCTTTTGCCACATTCGAATTGAGTCTTCATACAGCACTGTCGCTTTCCAATGTTATGCTGTGTGTAAAGCTACG